GATGCCGTCCGTCACGTCCGACGAGAGCAGCGTCGCCATGCTTTCCCAGCAATGGAAGAACGTGTCGGCCTCGAGGAAGTGATCTTCACAGCCGTAACCGCAGATCTCGAGCTCCGGCCCGAGGCGGTACGTGGCCCCGCGCGCCTTGGCAATGCGGATCGAGCTCATGATGCGCTCGAGGTTGCCGTCAAAGTCCAGCGCCCACTGGTTGAGGTTGCACGTGGCCACGGTCAGGAGCGGCGCGTTCATGTTCATCTTGTCGGCTAAACCAGAAGTGACTGCCTTCACCCAGAGGCGGCTCCTGCGCGATGATTGGCCATCGCGAGGACCCTAGGATTTTCAGCCAATCACAGCACCGATTGGATTGCATTCCAGCACTGAAAAGCTGCGGGGTCGATCCTCCGCCGTCGTTCGCCGCAACTTCGTGTGGTGGGCACTTGCTCATGGGACGACGGACGCAACCAATACGATTGATATAGGGCGAGCGGGCCGAGTACGTCGCCGTCGTAGGAGTAGCTGCCGTGCCTCCGCGACCAGTCGCCTCCCTCGCGCCGCGCTGGGTGCGACCCGAAAACGCGCTGTGATTGGTCAATGTGGCTCGGGATATCACCACTAGCTCTTTTACGTAGGTTGAAAGTTCGAACCGACACGTTTAAACGGTTAAACGGATAAAACGTATTAATATATATTGTCGTCGGGTTTCAATAGCGACGGCGACGTAATAGCGATGGAAGTTGCGCCAACGTTGGTGTCGACGCAGAAACGCAGAATCAAGCGCTTTCCCGCAACTTGTAGAGCACTCTAGCGTGCAATGCCAGGACCCTATTGACCGCACAACAAGTCTTCTAATAGTCCCTGCGGAGGTTTCGGATCTCGTTCAACGTTCAACACGACACACGATACAAGTACTAGTACGTGCCTTATGTAGCCACTACAGTGTACTAGTACTAGCCAGCAAGGAAATGAGAAGCATTGACGATTTATCTGCCTTGCGTGACACGTCATGGTACCACTTGAGCCGAGCGCTCCCGTTGATAGTACTACTAGCTACGGCTATCATAGCGAAGTCTGTCTGAATCCAAGGTCGGATAACTTGTCAACAGCTATTTCGCAAGATAAACGAGGTTGGATAGTTGTTGGTAGCTCTAGATAGAAATCGAGGTCGGCTAGATGTTCATGAGAATCCGAGGTCGGATAGTTGTTGCTACCTACTGAATCCAAGGTCGGATAGCTTGTCAAGAGCAAGAAATACAAGGTCGGATAGAACTACAAGATCCTGAAAGCCGCTCTGTTGGGGGCTTGGCTCGCGAAGGAACGATATACAGCTACGCAACTCTCCGTCGAAGAGCAGGGACTAGCACAGCAGCAGCGACTCGCAACACAGTATCGTTAGTTAGTAATATAGAGCATCGATCGATGCCATCGCGCCAACACCTCTCAGGACGCGGCGCTCGTTCTATACAGGCGCTGGGCGTGCGACGGCGGGCTCGTTGACGACATGTGCGCGGGAAACATGCGGTCGTACATGTGCTGGAGGATCGCGCTGACGTGGACGGCGGTCGGGCGCTCCTCGGGCACATACGAGAGGCACTGCTCGGCGAGCTCGACGAGCCACTCGGGCGACGTCTCGTGGAACGTCGGGCGGATCGTGCCGTCGCGCAGCCGGTCGAGCAGCGCGAAGTCCGAGAGCGGTTCGGTCGACGGGCCGTCGAGACTCTCGCGCAAATGCGCGTCCCAGAACGGCACTTGGTGCGTCGCAAACTCCGAGAGCATGATGCCAAACGAGTACATGTCGGCGGCGACCGTGTACCGCTTGCCGCGCAGCACCTCGGGCGCCGTCCAGCGGTACGTGCCGATGCCCTGCGTCATCGTCGCCTCGATTGCCTCGCGCGAGACGCCAAAGTCGATGAGCTTTCCGCGCGCGTGCTGCGTGAGAAGCACATTTCGGCTCTTGAGGTCCCGGTGGATGATCGCATTCGAATGCAAGTAGATGAGACCATTCACAACGTCGAGCGCACACAGAA